AGCCAAAAAGCTACTGAAACTCAGCCACAGTTGAATCTACGTTGCTACTGCAATCAGGTGTGCTGAGCATTCGTCTTTGTTTATAGTGTTATGGAAGCAAAACCAACCCTATAACTGGTATCAGTTACTCACCTTCACTTATACTCAAATTACTTCTAGTGAGAAGCTGGAGTGCCAATGGGTCCATACTTGCAGTGCAGTATCTGGACTGCACCCCTTGACAGACAGATCATTACTCATACAACTGCTGCCTGCTTTTATGATAGTAAATAGTGGGTCTTGCAAGTTCATTCTTCTACTGCTTTACACACCAACACATTCAATCTCGTCCACATGCATTAATGGAGGTTCTATAATTCCCTCTGGTAGATACACACAAATGGTTCATGGTGCTATAGTTGGCTCTGGGTGGCACTGAATGATCTTCCCAGCAACACTTAGTTCACCTGTTGCATAAAAGAAGGTTTATCCAAGTTTTGACAGTCCATTCATACACAGTATGTATGCTTTTTCAGTGGCTTAGGTCACCCAGGTGCCTATCAATCCACATCAAGGTGTCCACTGTTTGGCAAGACAAAGTTAGTGTTTACTGGTGTGAATAGAGGTCTGACTCAGAACACCAGATATACAGCAATATCCACCATGGTCCATGCAGCTCCTTTATCAACTAGGAACTCCATGACCTAACTGCTTACTCTAACACGAACATACCAAGCTCCACCCAGTCCAATTAAAGCTGGCTGACCACCACCTCCATTACTTCAGTCAGTGGCCAGACCTTCTTGACTTCCTACTGGCCCTCCTAAATGTACTATTTAGTTTAGTAGAACAAAAAATTCCATCAGTCTTGCTTCCAAGCAGGACAATGACAAATCAATTGAAAATATCCTATCAACCCATAACCATAGCACTGGCCCTTTTTCCTAGAGTGGGTTCTGGGTGAAGGCAGTGGCTGTGGCAAAATATCACGGGAAGGCCTTGATAGCTATGCCAAATCATGGTTTGAGGCTTTGTTGGCAATCCCACTTATGGCATATCTTGCTCATGATGATGAACATTTAGTTGGACAGGAAGCCTGGAAAACGTGGAGCCATGACAGCTGCTACTGTTGGCTTCCCCATCTCCTGCAATCAGTCTACAGTGACCACCTTGAACCTCATTGTTCCAGAGACTATTCCTATTAGGATCCAAATGTCATGCATCTCCAGGTGATTGCTCTTTGCTTCACTTGCACAGATCATCAGCAAAGACACCCAAGTTCTCAGAAGGTCTTCAGCAAGAGTCTTCTCTTACAAGCCTTAACTTAAGCTACGTTGATGGCTTGTATCTTCACTGGATCAAAACAACAGTGCAGCTTTGCTACAACTATGTACCAGTCAGCTAGCCATGCTTCCATTAGGTACTTGACTGTGTTGAGTGCTGGAATGTCAAGACTGTATTAAGCACTGAATTGCCTAATCCTGAGACAATTGGTTCCAGGCAATCCCTTGCTGGAAAGTTTATAGGAAAAAAGTTCTGTCATCCTTTGCTTGTATACTGGGAAAAAGATATATGTTTGGCATTAGCTCCAGTATCACATGATCTCCATCCAGATCTCATTCTGGCAGTATCTTGGTTCACCTCAGAGTGAACACTCTGCTATGGTGGAGGAGTTTTGAGTAGGTAGGTTCTAGAAGTCTAACACTGAAGAGTATTGACTCCAATTCCTGGATTTCTGCTTGAAATGATGTTGGATGTACTTCATCAACTTTCCTTGCAAATGCCCTGGTGTTTGTCTTAGCGACTTGCCCCCCCCCTTCTGCGAAGGGTCCCTGTTGCCCAACATATCCTGTTCTCTTCTTCTTAGTATCCGCCGCAATAATCAGTTAGCATTACAGCTTCAGTTTCCATAACTCATCCACCAATGACACCTCTCTCCATGTCATCAGGGAGGCTTAGTGCCTTTTCAAAAAGGCTTCTGCCTAGCCCATCAACCACCATCCTTATCAGCAAGATCCCACTGCACCACTTCCTAATGATACAGCTACTGTTGGTGGCTATTCACAACCAATGACATCTCACTGTTGATCTGGGGCTCAGTATCTTGCCATTTCTTTTCAGGGAAGCTCTTCACCTTATACCCAAATCTCCTCCACCTCCATTAGGAATTACTGTTCCACCTGTTGGCTTTTGGCTAGATGACAGACCACCTCCCTCCATAGAGAGGTTCTACAACACTCCACCAATCATCAGAGGTGTCAACTGTCAATGCTCACTGCTGTCTCCCCTAATGACTCTCCTTCTCAAACACAGCTGGGGTTATCCTGGTTGATGAGTATCTTCAGGCCTTGTAGAGACTGCTCTATTTGGGCTCAGGCTCCCTGTCTTACAGGGGGTAAACCCTACTCAATACTGAAAAAACAAAAACGATAGTATTAACGAAGTCAAATCTGCACATGAATGCACCTCGCAAACATGATAATTTTCCACTGTGAATTGAGCACTAGGATATGGCTGACCAACTATTATCCAGTTCACCAACAGAGAAGACAACTTACTGATTCTGTATGAAAACAACTTTCTATTTTTTTTATGTGCCATCTTCCCTGCAGGAAACTTGGCTAATTGCCAATGAACTCACATTATTTCCACCAAAACAAGGGGAGCTGAAGTTTTTACTTACTTGAGCAACTCGCTGCATTGTAACTGAACTCTTAAAACAATTTTAAACTTTTGACCTCAACTAAGTAGTAGACACAGCACCATCCTGTACCTCACATAGATAGTGCATGTGGCCTGCAGAAAGGGGAACTTTATATATACTATCATAGTTTCTTTGTTTAATTAAGACATATTGATACAGCTTTTGGTAAATAGTATATATTTTCCAGACATTAGAGTTTAAAAAAAAAGACTCCCTATTAATATAGACTACTAAATTACTAAGAGGTTTTTATAGACAGAGATTTGTCTAGATTATTCCATTATGGCCTTCTGAGCAGAACCTTTGATAGAAAACTTTAGCAATACTTGATCCAACTTCAGCACCTGTGAGATAGAAGTACCCGAGAAAAGAAAGCCCAAATTAAACTCTCTCTCTCTAGTTGAACATGTAAACATATGTTCAACTGTTAACTTAAACTTTACTTTTGTGATCGATTACAACCATGTGTTCATTCAAATTATTTTCTGTAAAGACTCAAGTCACAGTCAGAGCAAATATAGGCACTGTTTGGTTTTCAGTATCTGTCGAATTCTCCTGTTATTTTGTGGATCTTATAAGCTACTTTGAGGAAAATCAGGGGAATCTGAGAATAAATCAACAGTGTTCTCTTTTGAATAAACTGTATTGTAGCATAAGTCAATGGTTTCTTCCAATGAAAGTTGGTATACAAAGATTCAAGGTTAAATCAGACGTAAATCTTCTGCCTCATTAGAAAAAAAATCAAAATTGTTTTCACAGTACACTCGTCAGATATATATCCTTTGAGAAATTTCATTGTAATTACCAATATTCAATATTATTAGTCTTGCATGATTGTTGTCTTTATTCGATTTCTGGCAAGCTGAACATGTCAGTGACATTCGAACTCTGATCTAATATCCTGACAAACCATTGTTGATATAATGCTATCCTTCTTTAGCTTAAGCATATACTTCTTAAATTTATTAGTGTCACGAACTATCTTCTATACTTTGTGTTGTAATCCAATTCATTTAGTATTGCCATTTTCTTTCCTTTATCTGATTTTTAATAACTTTGTTGTCGTAATCCAGTTTATTTAGTACCACTACCTTGTTTCCCTTACCCGTGGCTGGCCTCTGGAATGGGTTGCCTTCCGATGTGTTGGTTTCAGTTAATTTAAGGAAAAGTTAGATAAATATTTGAATAATAAGGGTTGACTCTGTCATAATTATCCAAAACATGTTGTATACACTAGGTTTAGTGTTCGTTAACATGAGACTGCAGACACCTTGTGGTAGAGATAATAAAATAGTATGAATAAGGTTAAACATGTAGACCTCTATTCTGTATTTAATAAAAACATCCCTGTTTAAAAACTTCACTTTTAGATGTATGAGCACCCGTGCTTTGTAATTTCTTTTAATTTAAAACTGTGGAAATTCTTTTTTAAAATCTCCATTTTGGTATTTGGGCATGTTTTGACGACTTCATTCTGAGGAATATATCCAAGTTGTAAACTATAAAATAATATTGTTATTTTTATCAATGGAGCAAAAAATGTCATCAAATACACCATCCAAACAATTTTACTTGTAATGCATATCCTAGGAATGTATTTTCTGTGATTTAGGGTATTTTTTAAAATCTTATTTGTAGTAGAAAACAATTTCCTGTAGTAGGATTCTATAATATGTCAATACTAAACCAAAATGCACTTCATTTAAATTAACTGGGTCTTAATCTTTGTTACTGAATTAGTTCATTTACAAGGATAACTTTTCTTGGTATGGCCACACGACTGTTTGTGGTTATTGCCTTAAACAAAGCCAACAATAATATTCCGGTACATCCTACAAACTTTAAAACATATGCTGCTGCAATAACTCTTTGAATCCTTAAAACTCTTGAAAAACTGTCTTTCAAGGATAAACCCTGCTCTATATAAAAAACAATAGCACTAACAAAGTCAAGCCTACACATAAATGCACCTCACAAACGTCATCCTTGTCCACTACGAATCAAACCCAAGGTGTGGCTGCTTCTGACTGTTGTCCAATTTGCTGATAGGAGAGTGAAATTTCTATTACAGTATAACATGAGCTACCTTCCCTGCAGGAAACTTGGCTAATTGCCAATTAGTGAACTCGTATCATTTCCAGCAAAACAAGATAACTTGAAGTGCTATCTTGATCAACTCTCTTCACCCTAACTGGAAACTCTGAAAAACAACAATTTTGAAAAAATTTCGATCTTAGTTAAGAAGCAGCAGACACATACCACCGTTTAATTTTGAAATATGCAATTGGAAAATAAAAGATTCCATGTGACACTAAAGCATATTCCTCACTGTGTAAATTCTTTATTGACTACAGAGGTTTGAAATTATTTAAAACATTTGTTCAACTTGTTTGGTGGAGGTGAACATGCAGGATGTTTGTAAAAGATTGAAAAATACCCATCAGGTAACAGTAGGTGTTGGATGTGAGCGACCTCCTCTGTGCCTTCCCCGACTTCTTTTCACACCACGATTCGGCTCACTTTCAACTTTAGTAGCTCCTTCAATAGCTGTATTAGTGCTATAAGATGGCCTCATCTTTGGTGGCTTGTTTCTGTTCACCTGAGTGGGTGGTGACGCATTGGGGAATAGTTTGCTGATGTTTCCCACAGCTTTGGTCCTACCTTCACGAAATACCATCCTCATTCCAGGTCGCAGGTACTCTGGATTCTTGATGAAGCGGAAGTGAACAATAGCTTTATCTCCTGTCCTCAGGCAATCTTGAGACATAGAAATGATAGATGCTGTCTGTCGAACACTTCCACAGTGAACTGGAAAATAATTTTACAAACAGATGAGGTATATTACAAACTAACAATTTCACATAATTAAGAACAAATACAAATTGCACAGAGATTGGTACATGAGGTAAACCTACACTTTATATAGCTTTTTCACACATACAGTTCAATAAAGTAAACTTAACTTTAAAAACAGGAAACATATGAAAATGAAATTAGAAAGAGCATTTTGATGGAAAACAGCACATTCCATATTTTTAACCCCATGGAAACATTTTTATCAGCACAATAAATCCAACACACCATCCTTCCTCAGGTGCATTAATCTTAAAAACCAGAAATGAATTAAGAGTTAAATTTAATCCTACTGTACAACAATACTACCAATATTAGAATACAGTTTGGAGAAATGGTAGGAAGACAAGTTATAATTATTGTACACGAAAATAAATTACACTGATGTTCCCAATAGTAGATGACCTATGAAGGTATATTACTTGTTTTTGTTGTCTTGATTAATATTTTGTTTTAAAGAAAATACCTTTTCTACTATCGATTTTGATAATGGTATCATATTCTATGTATATATATATTAGTTAGATAAGGGCTACTTCAAATTCTAATGGGCAATTGTTTTATATCTTTTTTGGGCTAAAACAGGTTCCGGAAATGTTTGCATTGAAGAGAAAATATATCTGCGTTTCTAAGATGATCAACGAGTAACAGATGGTATCTATCTCAGAAGCATCTGGACAATGTTCACAACCATATTATGGGAGTCAGCAGAATTTGATTGTAAAACTAGATTCTACTTAATATGTAACATTTGTATCTGATAGTTTAAGTGTACCAGAAGAAAGGACACAAGTTCGTCTGATGATATTTCTGCAAAGAACTTCTGAATATTATTGAGCCAGATGAAATGTTGGTTAACTCAGTGTCTCTGGAGGTTTGAAAGTTGATGTCTACTTTGCAGTCTGTTAGTATAGAACCTACTAGGTATCAATACAGAACCTACTAGCATTATGTACATTACCTTCTGATACTGGGATTATGTACGTTACCATCTGATACTGGGATTATGTACGTTACCTTCTGATACTGGCATTATGTACGTTACCATCTGATACTGGCATTATGTACGTTACCTTCTGATACTGGCATTATGTACGTTACCA